AGAGAGAAAATAGAGGGACGAGATGGACGGACCAGCGAGAGACCAAAGAGAGACAAGAGACAGGGCCCAAAGGAACCAGAGAGAGACCAGAGTCCAGAGGGATCTGAGAAAGAGACCAGAGAAAAACAGAGAGAGAGACCAGAGCAAGAGTTTGTGTACAATATGGCAGTGCTATGAATGCCTTTTTTAACTGGCACTCACAGAGGCCTGCTCAATCAAGACCACCCTCTCCCCAGTTTCCACAGTAACAGAAAACAAAACAAACAAACCATATGGACATATTTATATATAAATATTATAGCAATCACAGTACATCTATAAACACTGTTCCAAACTGTAAGTGCTGGAGGAAAATTTCAGAGATGCCTTTGAAAACAGCACAAGATCCAGGAGGTTTTGTTATGCTTTGTAAACACACTCATTCAGAAAACCGACGAACGAAGTAATACAGCCAGGTCTCCGTGTTTGTGGTCAGATGAAGCATAGAGACTTTGGAAAACAACAATAACGTGATCAAAAGCTGCGGAGAGTTTTCAATAATTTGAGTTTTTGACCCTTTTAGGCTATATCCACACAAAGACAAAACGCTTATAATTTCAGAAACTTTTTCTGTAAACACGGAGTTAGCTCAGTAAATGTGTGTGTCCATATGAATGTAGTCAATACGCCTGAAAACGCTGTGAAACTATGCCAGACCTGTTGGTGGCGCTGTGACGCAATGATGGGATCAAGCCCAAACTTCCGTGACGGGAAATGGGCATGCGCAGAATTTTGTAAACAGACAACATGGCGAGTGGGCGAGCTGGTACTACATTAGTATGGACGGACGATGAGGTTGAACTGTTGCTTCGGGTCACACTGGATTACAAAACCAACAAGCTACATTGTTGTTGTCATTATTTTCTGAGTGCGGCGCATGCGTGCTTTAACAAGAGGCGGGGCGATGACGCAAGCGTCTCAGATACATTGCGGAGAGGCAGTAACCACGGAGCGGCATATACGGAGTTTTGAAATCTTTCCACTCTGGGACCTACTTTCAAAAATGTTCGTTTACACCCCCCCAAAACGCCGGCCTCGTATGGACGATACACTGAATTGATAAAGTATTTTTGCGTTTAGGCCTGAGCTTGACTTCGTGTGGACAGGGCCTTAGAATCCTCAAATGCAACCCAGTACACACTAATTCTTTTGAACGCTGTCTTGATCTTTGGCAGACGGCTGTGTCCAAACCCTTCAGATTGATTACCTGAATTAAAGCAGATTAACAAACATTAGGTCGGATTATACTGTCTGGATTGAGATATCTGCACTCAAACCTCTGCGTGTTGCTGACCGGGAGTCTGCCTTGGTTTGGGTTTATCCCATTAGCAACGCAGCTAACGAAGTCTAGGACCAAGATGATCCAAAGCAAACGCCAGCATGAGGTCTGACCCATATTCCAGAGTCCGCTGCGTCTGGTCACAAATTAATTAAAGGCTTCCACACTTCACCCACTCTTCAACCTCTCTGTCTTCTCGATGCTTGGAGAGTATCTCAAGTGGGTCAATAACAACAATTAGATCTGGGAAGTTGGAGAAATATGTTTGACTGGGTTTAGGGTCAGGGTCATGTTTAGGCATGAGTTGTAACATTGACATAACATTAAGATTTTAAAGATCAATGCAGATCGGCTCCTGTCTGCTGCATATGACCCTACAGAACACCCATTAATATCTCCACCAGGGGGTAATGTTATCACCAGGGTTTGTTTGTCTGGTGACAAACAAACCCTGGTGATTGTCACCCCTATATTTAAGTCTGGTGACAAACAAGAAATGAACAATTATCGTCCAATAAGCATCCTTCCAGCAGCGTCAAAAGTGCTCGAGAAGACAGTGGCGGATCAACTTACCGCCCACTTTGACTCACAAGCGCTCTTAAACCCAATGCAGTTTGGTTTCAGACGGAAGTATTCAACAGACTCTGCCTGTTGCTACTTCCTGGAAACTGTCAGGGCATATGTGGATCAGGGAAGGGTGGTGGGAGCAGTCTTCCTTGATCTGCGTAAAGCTTTTGACACCGTCAACCATCAGATACTCTACAGTAAATTAAATCAATATGGTCTCTCTGAGCACACCCAAAACTGGATAAGATCTTATTTGAGCGACCGACATCAGTGTGTACGAGTAAATAACATCCAATCTGCGTTTAGAGCCACCTCAATGGGAGTGCCGCAAGGGTCTATTTTGGGACCCTTGCTTTTTAGCATCTATATAAATGACCTCCCTACAGTGTGCTCTGACAGTGACTTGATCATGTACGCTGATGATACGGTTATCTTCACTTTTGGGAAAAACGAGCTGGAGGTTGCTGACAAATTATCAAAAGAGATGAAAAAAGTTGCAGAATGGTTGCAGACGTCCTGCCTGACCTTAAATGTTGATAAAACGGTTTCAATGTTTTTTTCGAATAAACGTAAATTACAACAAACTCAAGAAATTCAAGTAAATGGACAAAAAATTAAAAATGTAAACGAAAAAAAATATTTAGGTCTAATACTTGATTCGAATCTTGGTTTTAAAAGTCACATAAAAAAACTTGGTAACACACTGAAATTGAACTTGATGAACTTTAAACATATTAGAAACTCATTAACTACAGAGGCCTCAAATACTTACCTCAACACTATGATTGTTCCACATTTTCTGTATTGCATGTCTAGTTGGTCTCAGGCGTGTAAAACATCGTTAAAATCACTTGAATCATTATATAAAAGGGCCATAAAAATTCATGATAAAAAGCCTCGTAAGTATCATCACTGTAAAGTACAAAGTAAATATAACTTTCTGAGTTTTGAAAACCTTATTAAATATAATCAAATTTCTGCTCTGTTTAAAATAATCTATAACATCACTGCTCCCCCTCTGAGAAAATGTTTTGCACTCAGTTCGGAGAGAATCTCTAGAACCACACGGTCAGCAGTCAGAGGAGAGTGCAGCGTTCCAAGACGCAAAACTGCATATGGTCAACAATCATTCTCTTATAAAGCAGCGAGCCTTTGGAACACTCTTCCAAATGAAATTATTTCATGCACAAATTATAGCACATTTACACGCCTAACCAAACAGTGGTTATTATCAAAGCAAACCTGTACGCACTGAATGACTGTGAACGCTGTAAACTGTGAGCGAGAGTGAATGATAGAAAGTGCTTTTATGATGTAAGCGTTTATGTATTATTCTGTATATATTTTATGAATTCTTTTAAGTATAACATCAACCTGTCCAGGGACTGCGGGTGGAAATTAGCATTTTTGCTATAACCTGGCACATGACATCTCTTCTTTTTTAGACTAATGTTGTTTGTGCATTGTCCCTGATCAAATAAATAAAGTAAACTAAACTAAACTAGTCAGTGCCAGTGTTGGTCAGTAATGTGATAAAAGTAAGGCGTTACTTTTTTTTCTGAGTAAGGAGTAAAGTAAGGGATAACATCTGCAAAAAACGTATGTAATTGCATTTACTTTCTTCTAAGCAAGCGGCGTTACAATGCGTTACTAAACCGTGAGTGTTGTGACTTTGTCTCGTTGTGAGTGACAGATGAGAGGTGCTGCCACGCGATAAACAGACATTTGTAAACTCTCTGGAGAAGTACAGCAGGAAGTCTCTTGGCGACTTTAGTCATTTGCTTTCACGTTATTGTTCGGACAATAAACCCATAGTTAACCCATAGTTTTGATGCCATCAGTGTGAATCTACAATTTTCATAATCATGAAAATAAAAAAAACTCTTTGAATGAAGAGGTGTGTCCAAACTTTTGGTTGGTACTGTATGTATTTTTTGAGTTTTAAGATTTTGGACGAATCCAGCCAAACAGGTCACACTACCCAGTTCAACCCATTTCAGCACAGTCTAAATTCAGAAACAAGGCTTGATCTGGAAACAAGATCTGGAAACTGCAGTTTTTTTCTCTGCAAACTTTAAATTGTTCGCAAAACAAAATGACAAATTATAATGTATGTTTGCTTGTATTGATCTTAATCCTTACCCTAACCCTTAAAGCTGGGGTACGTAACTTTCAAACCACTGACAATAGTACTGTGTAATAAAGTACAGTCTCTATCTGCGGGCTCAAAAACAGTTTGCTCCCATCACTAGTTTCATAAAGGTTTGGTCCCGTCATGTCTTTAGATCAGCTTTTATAGACAGAAAAAATAAAAAGAGAGGACAAGCTTCAGACAGAGAGGACAGTCAGACAATCAACTCCAAGCCCAAAGAGTCAAATAATGACTTACAGGGCTCTTTCTTACACAAAATATACAATGTGTTCTCACAAGCTGAAGACAGTATGCTGTGGTCTGATTTGTTCTGTGCTGAAAAACTAAATGCAGGAAGTTTTATTTATGATATTTCCATGGAACAGTGCATAACTTTTCTTTATCATTTGAGAAAAACATGAAGAATGTAACAAACAGTAAAAATACACTGCAAAAAGGGACAGAAAATCTGTCAAAAATGGCTTGAATCGCAGATACTCAGACAATTCTCCCTTTGACTGAGGAAAACATTGCAACTGCGTTTGAAAAAAAATGTCTTGTTTAAGACACAATGTCCTCAATAAAGCAGTGTTCCCTAAACTTTTTGTAGCTTTTTCAGACTACACACCACCTGCTGAAACTGATGCAAACATGAAAATCTGAAGCAGCAAAGCAAAGTCATTCTCATCAAAGTGTATTAATTGTATTGTATAGATAATCAAAGAAGTGCAAACAAGTCTGTCTAATCTTCACATTATTTTCTCTTGACAATATTTTGACCATAACTAGGTAGTATTGGATCATTACCAAACAAAACAATGCAATAATAATACACTTGAGACAAGCCATTAGAAGCATATATTTATCATACACAACTGTACAATTTTTTTTTAAAACCAGTTGCAAAACAGATATTTCTGCAATCGTTAGTGCTTCAGCTTGTAATACCCTCACCTGCCCACCAGGAGGCACACCCCTGCTTACCTGTGATGAACACGGCTTTCCCATTGGCCGACAGCAGCGAGACCGGCCTGCTCCTTCTCCTGAGGCCGCGGTGAAGCCCCCACGCCATCCCCCCGGCAACCAGCAATATGGCAGCCGGCACGCACAGCGACCACAGCCTCTCCGCCAAAACGGTCGCACCTAGCCACGCCATAACGGTGGACGCGCCACTCAGCTGCGAGGCCAGAATCTTTTTCACCGCTCCGCCGAGGAAGACCGTCAGCACGCATATGTATATGACGAAGGGAAGAGTGTAGTCCTCCATGGGTTTGACGGGAGTTTGGTTTTGTTTGGTGGAGTTCTGGTGGCGGTGCCTAGAGAGCCGGTGCTTTGACTGAGTAGCTCTGTGTGTGTGCTGTGTGCTCGGTGTGCGTTTATAAGGGGCAGGGAGCAGAGGGAGCAGGGAGTGGGAGGGATCAGCTGGGAGCAGAGGGAGCAGGGAGAGCAGAGGGAGAGGGAGGGATCAGCTGGGAGCATCTAATCTGCCGCCGAACGGATACAAAGTTTAAGAAGAGCAAGACACACACTCGGTCCCCGTAAATAATCATTAGTGGATTACCGTGAGGGCAAGATGTGTCCAGTGTGTGTGAGTGTGTGTGTGGGTGTGAGTGAGTGAGTGTGAGGGGTGTGTATGTGTGTGTGTGTGTGTGTGAGTAAGTGTGTGGGGTGTGTGTGGGTGAGAGAGAGTGTGGCGGGTGTGTGAGTGTGTGTGGCGGGTCAGCAGGAAAGAGGCATCAACATGGGGTATTCAAAACAAAAGATAGGATAAACTTTATTGATCCCACACATTTGGCATGACTAGAATAACTGACTAAAATATGCAAAACAACAAGATATGTGCAATAGAGGTATTTTATGTACAATTAAAATTAAAGTTAACCCTTTAGGCGCCAGAGTTTTTTCAAGAAAATGTACAATTTTGATTTCAAGATTTCAAAAGGCTATAACTTTAAAATGGTTTGAGATAAAGGCATACTGTAAATTAGAAATATCTTCAGTCTGAACCAAACTTTGGGATGGAGGTTGATTCGTCATCTAATTTGCATATTGTAACGTCATCAAGGTGGCGGCCATTTTGGAAAATGTTAATTATTGTATAAAGACTTCAAAAAGCTGTAGCTTGGGAGTTATTTGAGATCAGGGAATACTATAAACAGTAAATGTGAAATATATCTTTAGTATGAAATGAATTTGGGATAGAAATAAATTCCCTGATCCAGATTATACATAATGTTTTAGCACTGGTTCGCAGCCATATGGAATTTTATTATTTTCAAAGACCTTCAGTGATCAAGACTGCACTCTTTATAGTTTACAGTCATGAAATCTGGAGATTGGTTTCAATATTTCCCTTTCTAAGAAGTAGTGGCCATACTATTTTTCTCAGTGGAAATGCGGCTCCAGGATTTATCGTGTAGAAACAGAGAGATGAAATGAATGGGCACAGAACATGTCAGATCGTCTCAACAATAAACAACAGGTTTTTCAACACTTCTGATCCACTTTTGTGGATTATTTTCTCTCAAGAACTGCCTTCATCCTCATCATCGCTGTTGGTAAAGGCAGTGAACGCGATAAGCGATGTGCTTTTTCCCGCGGCTCCCCCGCGACTTTTCCCGCGACTTCTCCCGCGTTTCCCGTGTTCCCCGTGGATGTCTACCCCGGCTACTTTCTCCCACATGTCCGGTGTTATGATGCCCCTGTCCCCTCCACCACGGCCCCTGCTTGGCGTTCACAGAATGCTTCTACCGCGGCCACACGGAGGACAAGCAGCCGCTGTACAGGGGCTGATTGTGGACTATGGAGCGCGGTCTCCCCGTCACCAATAATGTCCGTGTCTGCTTCACTGGACACCTGTGTGTCTTCCTCCTCTGAATCTGAGTGAGCCAGTACCAGACCAAGTACTTCTCTGGTAAGACCTTGTGAGTAAAATAAAAAACACTCTCTCCCTCTGCTCTGCTCTCGCTCCTCTCAGCTCTACCGCTGCTGCTTCGCGCCTCCGCGCTGCAGGTGTTTTACAAACTCAATTTACTCAAAAACTTTCAATATAACCACACCCACAAATGTTGCTCATATTACAGGCACACATGTCCACTAACCCCTGGTGAAAAGTATTAACAAGATTCTGCATCACATTTTTAGATACAGCCTGTTTAAGTGAGCAATGTTGCTTGTCGCAATATTGCGACTTTGGCGCTTAAAGGGTTAATCAAAAGTGACTGTAGCAGTGTGAGTTTTCAGTCCTTGTGCAGGTGACGGTGGGGAGGAGCTCCTTCTTGCACTGAACGGCTCCTCAGCTCCTCTACAGTCCTGTGCAGTGGGAGGTGTTGTCCATGATGGAGGTGAGTTTGACTAGCACCCTCCTGTCCCTCATCTCCTCCACAGAGTCCAGGGAGCAGCCCAGAGTGGAGCTGGCCCTCCTGACCAGATAGTTTGTGTCCTGCTCTGTGCTGTCCGGGGCCAGCACATGGCAGAGGCCTGCTCACTCTAAAGGACCGCAGCCTCCTCAGAAGGTGGAGGTGGTTTTGGCCCTTCTTGTACAGAACGTTGGTGTTATGGGACCAGTCCAGTTATTGTTAATGTGAACACCCTGTCCTCCCCCTGGATGCAGGTGTGTGAGGTAGTGTCTTCTTCCTGAAGTCAGAAGACCAAAAGACCTCTAACTTGGGATGTCCATCTAACAGTTTCTTATCAGTCGCTGACTTAGGATTTGGTGAAAAGATTGGCCCAATCCAAGGGCAGTGTCCTGTGAACACAGCGGATCCATACATGGGCGAACGTTTGCTAAACACACTGACAGAGGATCAAAGGCATTCAAATCAAACATTATGTAGATTTGATCATTATTTAACATCAAATGGCTCAGTTAAAGAGAAGTCTGATGCTGCTATGTTGTGCAAGAGTTTAAAGATACAATTTGTTCAGCCCTGTCAGTTAAACATAATGAAAAATGTACGCAAAATCCATTTTAACAGTGTCAGTTATTTTTTGCCGCAGTTAATGTGAGTACGTACTGTATTATGACTGATGTATATGCGTGGGTCATATTTTAAGTGTCTAGCGGGACGCCATGTCAGCGTGCTTGTGCATGCTCCAGGGTTCTACCACAGGGACTATCTGAAATCAGTTGTGGCACCATACACGTGCCGCTGTGGAAAGCTGAGAGACATGAGTATCAGGAGTTGCACTGCACAACCATGGGATCAGGAATAATTACAGATCAGGACCCTAACTGCTCTGGCTGAAGTGTCAACACCACACAGGAGCGGAGGGAGGGTCATCTCCCATGCTATCAGGTTTGATTTGAGCCAGCAATTCAATTCAATGTATTTTTGTATAGCCCTAAATCACAACAGTAGTTATCTTGGAGGACTTTACACAACCGTTGAATTCGCCAACACAGATCAAAGAAGCAAACAGTTCAAACACAAGGAATGCAATGATAGAAATAGAGCCATTAGTCCATAAGAGGCAGATGACAACTGTCCATAAATGTTGTTGAATGTGGAGTGTTCGGGATCATCACCGCTGTCCTCTGACCCTCCGGCATCAGCGAAGAAATTAAAAGGGTTTCCAGAAGCCACATCATTGCTAACAGGTACAATGTCATAAAGAGGAACAGAAAAACAGAGAATGGAAAAGGGTTGTCCTTGAGAGGGCCGGTGATTGGTGAGAGCACGTGGAAACATATGTTATAAGAGGAGAGGTCGAGAGCACAGCTGCATGTGGAGATAAACCGCCGACAGACCTGTCCTTCATCTGAAAGCACAACACATAAAGAAGGAAAGTGATGCCGAGAATTTATCTCCCAGATTTCCCAAGGAAGATGAAACAAACGAAAGGCAGCTATTTGCATTCAAGTCCAGATAGGCGGATACAAGGATATTAAAATGCATAAACGTAAATCACAAATCAGATTTATTTTATTTAAGTGTACACTATCAACTCTCAATGTGAAAGACTACTACATTTATAGCCAAAGCTAGCTTGCAATGTTCGTCTCTGGAAGGGTTTTTAACAAAAATAATTGTAAAAACGATATCAAATTAAATTTTACAGCATTTCACTGTTTCCGCGAAAATGACGGACCATAAACAATATCCTGGATCTACAGCTTGAGTCCTGGATCTACAGCTTCAGTCCTGGATCTACTGTAAAGCTTTAGTCCTGGATCTACGGCGTCAGTCCTGGATCTAAAGCTTTAGTCCTGGATCTACAGCCTCAGTCCTGGATCTAAAGCTTTAGTCCTGGATCTACAGCCTCAGTCCTGGATCTAAAGCTTCAGTCCTGGATCTACAACCTTAGTCCGTAATCTCTAGCCTCATTCCTTGTTTGACAGCCTGTAGCCACAGAATACACATATACAGTATGTGACCAGGTTTCTGGGGACACATGTAAAAGAGGTAGATGTAAGTTAACTGATTTACACATGGCCCATAAGAGTCAAGTTTTTACATCTTTAAACCAGATTTTCCAAACGGATCAGCTCTTTGCTCCCTCCTCTTTCAAGTGCTGCTTAATGTTTATTTCTGAGAAGGAACATTTCTGCTTGCCCCATCGACAAACCTTGTTCTAAGAATTCAAGTTCAAGAAAATTCTGACTTTTTGTTGTCTCTTTTTGTAGTGTACAGTATGTGTGAACAAAGCTCTTCAAAAGCCTGAGCTTGTACTTCGTGAGGACTTTCTAAACTCTGGCAAAGGTTGTGTCCAAACGCCTTTCTCTAAATGTAAGTAATGCCAGTGAACATTACGTGTGGATGATGAGAGGCCGTCGTGTCTTTGTGTCGTGACGCTAACAAGTCACCGTTGTACTTTAAAGTGATCAGAGATGTCATTGTGAGTCACCTACTGTTCACACTACAACACACAGAGCCTGACTTTACTGCCGCATGACTCCTGATGAGACGTGTGCTTTAGTAACTGCACTTTACAAAGAACCCGAGAATGTGGGAGACGATTCAACACATGTTTATCAGGGAAGTGTTGAAGAGAAGAAGATCCTACACTACAGCATCACAGAAGGGTCTTTCACAGCTAACCACCTTCACAGCAAGAAGGTCCTGGGTTTGATTCCACCTCCAGGGCCTTTCTGTTTGGAGTCATGTGCTCCCAGTTTCTGAGAAGGTTTCCTCCGGGTGCTCCAGTTTCCCTTATCACAAAAAAAATGTACAATAGGTCTAGCATGTGCCTCCTGTTTGGCGACCTCGCTCCCATCTCTGTGTGGAGTGAGAGACAAATGCCTGCAACAATTGTTAAGCGCTTTGTGACTGTTGCATTGAATAAAGATTACTTATTTATTTATTTATATCAGAATCAGAATTATTTGTATTGCCATTGTGAGTAACAGGAAGTCACACACTAGGAAATTGCTTTGACTCTCGGTGCAAAACAGCTTGCATTAAAAAAAAAAAAAATTACATAACATTTCTAAAATTGAGCAGGGGCCAAACCAGTCAGACCGGTTCCAGAACAGGCCGGTGTGGCTGCATGTTTTGGTTCAACCTGAGCAGGAGCGCAGATGGGTGAGTTTTGGAACTAAAACATGCAGCCACACCGGCCTTTTTGGGAACCGGTTTGACAGCCCTGATCTACAGCCGGTCTGTTCGAGGAATGTGGAAGCAGATCCTTCTCTCGGTGGTTTCTCACTTTTTTCCCACTGTTTTATTTTGTTGTTGTTTGTTGCCAATGCAGGAGGGTCTAAGGACAGTGTTGATCGGGGACATTTAAGGACATTTAAGGACCAGGGCCGGGACTCAATTATAAACAAAATATCAAATTAATTATAGTTATCTAATTCATCGAAAATAATTGTATATAAATATTTGACCTGAGAACAATGAGAAGTATTTTTTTTCACATGGCTTTTCAGTTTACCATTGACTGAATACAGACGCTTAAGCAACACAATATGTTGTCTTCTTGTCCAACCAAGTCCAGTGGACCAGTGCAGCAAGAAAGTAAATGTAATCACTTTACTTTTTTGTAGATGTAATCCCTTACTTTACTTGTTACTCAGAAAAAGTAATTGGATTACAGTGACGTGTTACTTTTATCGCGTTACTGATCAACACTGTTCCTTAATGTGTACTGTCCCAACCAAATAAACAATAAACTGAACTTATGCAATCCAGTGATCCCTCCAGACCTTTGGTTATTAAGACCATTGTTACGGACAAAGTCCTTTTGGTTTTGGTCTTTTGTTTCTCTTTGCCTCCACCTCTCAGACCCTCCCACCTCCAGCTGAGTGACGTCCCGCTCACACCTGTGGGTAATCTGCTGGGAGGTATAAAGGGCCGGGATCGAGACCAGGCTGACGCTCTCTGCCACTTCGACCGTCCGTTGGACCAGTGGGTCCTGTGTCTGTACCTCACCCCTTTTGGAGCATTTTGTTTTGTGATTGAACAGTGGTTCTTTTGCACCTATTTTAATAAACCATTTGCTTTTTGGACCTCCGCCTCCCGTCTCTGTTCCACACCCGGTTTTATTTTTGTTACTGAGCCACACTCCTAGACACCACCACCTTGTGGCTCGTAATAGTTGGGGGCTCGTCCGGGATCCTGTGGAACTGCGGTGGGTGCACGGGAGTCATCTGTGCGCTCTTGGTGAGTCGTGTGTGTGTGGGTGCATCTGGCATTGTGATCTGAATTGACCCAGCAAGACTAGGGGGGGTGTCCAGCTTGGTTGATTTATTTGCCATTCCTTCGGGCATCCGTTTTTTGTTTTAGTTTATTATTTTCGGGACGAATCCTGGGCGGAGTGGATTCTCTGACGGGGGCTGCACGCCTCGAGCCCGGCAAGTCCCAGAAGACATTTAGGTTAAGTTTTTCCTGAGTAGGAGTCTGGGTCAATACCTGTGTTTGCACTGAGTTGGTTTTGTCCTTAAGGCACCCTGCATAACCTCTTTTCACCCGTGTGCGAGTGTGCGTGGGTGTGCATAAGTTTTGAGCGCAGCTGTGTGCGGGCGCGTACTTGGCACATCCCAGGAGGCGTGTCGTTGTGGAGAGCAGCAGCAGGTGTGGTCAGCTGTGAGTGGGATCAGCTGTGATCAGGATCCGTGATTACTTTACGTCCGGTGAGTGATGGCTACATTTGTTTTAGAAGCCTTGGTGGCTGAACCAACGCAAGTGGCGTTGACTTTGTGTAGCAAAATGGATTTGCTTGAACGGGTGACGGCGGGAGATACAGTGATGTCCCCCGTGCGTCCTGGTGTAGAGCGCGTGGAGCAGCCACAGGTGGGCTCTCCTTCTGCGCCGTTTGAAGAGACTGAGGTGAGGTCTCTGAGCCTGGTTCGTTCTCCCCGTGATGTGCTAGTGGATGTGCGCATTGCTCGTTTAAAGTACGAGAGGGAGAAGGAGGAGCGTGAGTTTCAGCTAAAGCGTGAGATTGCGTTAAAGCGTATTGAAGCGGAGGCTGTTACTGCTCGCAAAGTGGCCTTTAAAAAGATAGAGGCTGACGCTGCGCTTAGGATGCGGCAATTGGAGTTGCAATCAGCGGGTCGCAGTCCAGGTTCCTCGTCACCTGTGGTCAGTGCGCCTGAGTTTGACGTGACTCAAAATATCCCGCTTGTCCCAACTTTCCGTGAGACCTGAGGTTGAGTCCTATTTTTGTGTTTTTGAGCGCATTGCAGGGGCATTACACTGGCCTAGGGATGTGTGGGCAATCCTTCTGCAGTGCAACCTAAGTGGCAGGGCGTCTGAAGCGTGTGCATCTTTGGCAGTCTCAGACAGGTTGGACTATGACTGTGTAAAAGGTGCTATTTTGCGGTTCTATGAGTCGTGGCCCAAGGCTCATAGTGCTTACGTTAGTCCCGCGCACGTAGTTGGAGCTTTCCCTATAGCTGTTTGTGACCAGTCTCCAATTGATGGGGTGGAGTCCATCATGTGGAATGACAGTGTAGGTGGAAAAGTGTGTCCCATGAGCGTTTTGACCCACGCTCAGTCTGAAAGAGGGAGGCAGAGTGACGTTGGTAATTCTGTGCTTGCTCCTGATTTTGCAGGTGTTGGTGCGCCCTCGTGTGGACGGACTGATAACACCAAGGTTTACATTGAGAAGCCAGAGTTAATCACTTCTGTGTCCCCTCCACCCACAGATAAGAAAGCTGGTCGCAAGTTCAGTCTGGCTGGACTTGTGTTAAGTTGCGGCATACCTGGACCAAACAAACTGCTTGACGAGGTCTCTACCGAAATCAGACAGTTTGACCCTGGTGTGTTTCGGTTTTTGTCCTTCATGGGCATGGCGTTGGCAATGCTGCTGGCTCTGCAGCGCCTACGTTTTTTGTTGGGTCGCCTTGTGTCCCGGTAATTTTCTTTTCAGACCACAACACCCTGGTTTCCCTGGCCCTGATGTCCAACCCGGATCAACGGTTGCTGCAGGGGCGCTGCTGACTGTAGACTACACCGTTCGTGTCAGCACTGGAGTGGAAAGGACCATGTTGTGGCTGAGGCCTCTTGGCGTCACAGGGGACTTGCATCGCCACTTGGGTGGTGGTGGTGGCACCCATATCCTTTCCCACTTTGTGAATTAGTTTGTGTTTTACAGAAGAACCTGTTTTCCTGTTAACGAGGAGTAGAGCTTAGTTTTTATGGGGGGAGGTGTTACAGACAAAGTCCTTTTGGTTTTGGTATTTTGTTTCTCCTTGCCTCCACCTCTCAGACCCTCCCACCTCCAGCTGAGTGACGTCCCGCTCACACCTGTGGGTAATCTGCTGGGAGGTATAAAGGGCCGGGATCGAGACCAGGCTGACTCTCTCTGCCACTTCGACCGTCCGTTGGACCAGTGGGTCCTGTGTCTGTACCTCACCCCTTTTGGAGCATTTTGTTTTGTGATTGAACAGTGGTTCTTTTGCACCTATTTTAATAAACCATTTGCTTTTTGGACCTCCGCCTCCCGTCTCTGTTGCTTGAACAGTGGTTCTTTTGCACCTATTTTAATAAACCATTTGCTTTTTGGAGCTCCGCCTCCCGTCTCTGTTCCACACCCGGTTTTATTTTTGTTACTGAGCCACACTCCTAGACACCACCACCTTGTGGCTCGTAATAGTTGGGGGCTCGTCCGGGATCAGTTCCCCATCGATGGGGTGGAGTTCATCATGGGGAATGACCTTGCAGGTGGCAAAGTGTACCCCTCCCCTGAGGTTGTTACTCGCCCTATCCTGAGCTCTGATGTGGATGAGCTGGCTGAGAAACACCCTGACGTGTTTTCTGTGAGCGTTCTGACCCGCGCTCTGTCTAAAATGGCGAGAGAGCAAAGTGAGGTTGATTTGGGTGATTCTGTGCTTGCTCCTGTTTTCTCTGGTCTTAGTGCGCCCTCGTGTGGACGAACTGGGGAGGACTCAAAGGCCCAGCCTGACAGTGAGGAGCCAGATTGCAGCCCCTCTTTGTCTCCCCTGCTTACAAGTGACGCGCTGATCGAAGCTCAAAAATCTGATGTGACCTTGACTAAATGTTTTTCTGTTATAGACAGTCCAGCAGCCCAAAGTCAATTTTTCCTTGACAAGGGGGTATTGATGTGGAAGTGGGTCCCCCAGGAAGGTAACCACTCTGACACTGACTGGTGTACAGTTTTCCAGATAGTGGTTCCCAAGTGTTACAGACATGTGCTATCTCTGGCGCATGAGCATGTGTGGTCCGGCCACCTCGGTGTGACAAAAACCTATAACCGTGTTCTGCAACATTTTTTTTGGCCAGGGCTGAAGGTTGATGTCGCTAGGTTCTGTAGGACCTGCACTACATGCCAAGCGGTGGGGAAACCAAACCAGGTGGTGCCGCCGGCTCCGCTGCGTCCCGTGCCTGCTGTTGGGGAACCGTTTGAGCACGTGATTATGGACTGTGTTGGCCCTCTACCTAAGACAAAGGCTGGTAACCAGTTCCTATTGACTATAATGTGTGTTGCCACTCGTTTCCCAGAGGCCATCCCACTACGCAGAATTACTGCCCCTACTGTTGTCAAGGCGATGACAAAGTTCTTCAGCACTTTTGGCCTTCCTCGGATCCTTCAGACAGAACAAGGAACCAACTTCCTGTCCAAGGCGTTCAAGGAGGCTTTGCAGTCATTCGGTGTGTCCCACTCTGTGTCCAGTGCATACCACCCGGAGTCTCAGGGAGCATTGGAAAGATGGCACCAAACGTTTAAGTCCATGCTGAGCAAGTTTTGTTTTGAGACTGGCAAGGACTGGGATGAGGGCGTTCCGTTCATGTTATTTGCAATCAGAGATGCCACCCAAGAGTCCCTAGGTTTCAGTCCGGCCGAACTTGTATTTGGTCACCGCATACGTGGACCACTCAAGGTACTGAAGGAGCAGTTCTTGTCAATGTCGAAGCTTAAAGGTGATGTCATAGATTTTGTAACAAAATGTAAACGACGGTTGGGTCATGCCACTACTTTAGCTAGAGCGGCGCTCTCCTCCTCACAGGCTGGCATGAAGAGTCGTTTTGATGTGAAGGCGGTGGCCAGGACTTTTGAGCCAGGCGATGAAGTTTTAGTGTTACTGCCTGCTGTGGGTTCAGCCCTTTCTGCTCGTTTTTCTGGTCCATATGTGGTTGAGAGAAAGGTGTCTGACACAAATTACCTTATTCTCACTCCTGGGAGGAGGAGGAAAACTCGTCTGTGTCATATCAATATGCTGAAGCCTTTCCATGCAAGGGAAAGCGTGAAGCCGGCCCAGTCTGTTTTAACTGTGCCTTGTGTGTCACCAGGGTCTGCAGACCCATTGGAGGAAGACTTGGAGGAGCCATGTGTTGCCCGGCAGTGTGGTCGGCTGTCAAACTCTGAGTTTTTGTCCAGTTTAGGCACCAACCTGGCATATCTCAGTGAGCAGCAGTTCAGTGACATTTTTGATCTGTTGCAGGCCTATCCCTCACTCTTTGGTGACACTCCATCTCGTACTTCAGTCCTTGAGCATGACATTGATGTGGGTTCCGCTTCACCAATCAAGCAGCATGCCTACCGCTGCCCGATGACCAGACGAGAGGCCATGAAGAGGGAGGTAGCTTATTTGATAAACAATGGTCTTGCAGTACCTAGCCATAGCCCCTGGAGTTCACCTTGTCTCCTGGCTCCTAAATCTGATGGCTCGCCCCATTTTTGCACAGATTTCAGGAAGGTAAATGGGGTTACTGTGGCGGACTCTTTTCCTCTCCCTCGTATGGAGGATTGTATAGACAACATTGGTCCTGCGGTGCACATTACAAAGTTGGACTTACTAAAAGGCTACTGACAGGTCACTTTGACATCCCGAGCATCAGATATATCTGCCTTCGTTACTCCTGACCATTTCATGCAGTACACTGTGATGGCTTTTGGCATGAGGAACGCACCTGCCACCTTCCAGCGCCTCATGCACATCGTGCTTAGTAATGTTCCTAACTGCAATGTGTACCTTGACGATATTGTGATATACACAGACACTTGGTCAGAGCACGTCGCGGTACTGAAAGAAGTTTTTGAACGTTTGTCCAAAGCAAACCTCACCCTCAACTTGGCAAAATGTGACTTGGGTAAGGCCTCTGTGACATATCTGGGCAAGATTGTAGGCCATGGTTCAGTGCGTCCCATCGATGCTAAAGTTGAGGCGGTCCTCTCCTACCCCCCTCCAAAAACCCGGAGGGAACTGCGGCGGTTCTTGGGCCTGGCGGGCTATTACCGCTGTTTTTGCAAAAACTTTTCTGTCCTTGCTGCTCCACTCACTGCCCTCTGCAGCCCTTCTGTCCCTTTCACCTGGACAGAAGAATGTGAGGCAGCTTTCCAAGCAGCGAAGTCACTTTTGTTCAGTGCCCCGGTACTTTCTGCACCAGACTGCTCAAAGCCCTTCATCCTGGAGGTGGATGCGAGTGCCAATGGAGCAGGTGCAGTTTTGCTCCAGGAGGACGAGGCTAGTGTTCCTCATCCTGTGTCCTACTTCTCTAAAAAGTTTAAAAAGCACCAGCTGAACTATTCCACTGTAGAGGAGACCCTGGCTATGCTGCTGGCTCTGCAGCATTTTAATGTGTATGTTGGGTCCACTTGTGTCCCAGTCACTGTCTTCACAGACCACAACCCCCTCGTGTTCCTGTCCCAGATGTTCAACCAGAATCAACGTCTGATGCGGTGGGCGCTGCTGGCTCAGGACTACAACATCAGCATCCAGCACAAGAGGGGGAAGGACAATGTTGTGGCTGATGCCCTATCGCGTGACTGAGGACACACATCACCACTTGGGTCGCAGGTGGTGATGGCACCCATATCCTTTTCAGCCTTTTCTGACTCCCTGTGTTTACGCTGTTGACAGATCTCGTCACTTTCCTGATTTATCCTTATTGTCTACATGTGTAGTGGCTAGTACAGCAGTGGCTATTTCTAAGTTATCCTACTTGAGTTCCATTATATTGGAAATGCCTGTTCCTACTTGGACTTCACAAATAGTCCCTGAGTGTGGGTACAGATTTGTTAGATGCAGGCATGTTATGTTTTCTGGCTGGGTGGGGGTTTATTTTTATGGGGGGAGGTGTTACGGACCAGGTCCTTGTTTTTGTTTCTCCTTGCCTCCGCCTCCTCAGACCTCCCTCCCACTGACGTCTCACTATGCACCTGTGGGCTAATCACCTGGGAGGCATAAAAAGAGCCTGGCTCCAGACCAGTCTCTCTTCCACTTGGGCCTGGATCCTGCGGCTGCACACCCGTGTGACCTTTTTGTGCATTTATTTATATGTAAATAAACCTTGTTACTTTTTAGACCCCGTTTCCCGTCTCTGTTCCACACCCGGTTTTATTTTTGTTACTGAGCCACACTCCTAGACACCACCACCTTGTGGCTCGTAATAGTTGGGGGGCTCGTCCGGGATTTGAACCCGGGACCTTTGTCTGTTACGGACAAAGTCCTTTTGGTTTTGGTATTTTGTTTCTCCTTGCCTCCACCTCTCAGACCCTCCCACCTCCAGCTGAGTGACGTCCCACTCACACCTGTGGGTAATCTGCTGGGAGGTATAAAGGGCCGGGATCGAGACCAGGCTGACGCTCTCTGCCACTTCGACCGTCCGTTGGACCAGTGGGTCCTGTGTCTGTACCTCACCCCTTTTGGAGCATTTTGTTTTGTGATTGAACAGTGGTTCTTTTGCACCTATTTTAATAAACCATTTGCTTTTTGGACCTCCGCCTCCCGTCTCTGTTCCACACCCGGTTTTATTTTTGTTACTGAGCCACACTCCTAGACACCACCACCTTGTGGCTCGTAATACGTGGGGGCTCGTCCGGGATACAGTGGAACTGCGGTGGGTGCACCAGGAGTCGTGCGCTCTGGGTGAGTCGCGTGTGTGTGTGGGTGCGTGGGACATTCAGTGGCAGTCAACTCCAAATTGACCCAGCACTGGAGTGGAAAGGACCATGTTGTGGCTGAGGCCTCTTGGCGTCACAGGGGACTTGCATCGCCACTTGGGTGGTGGTGGTGGCACCCATATCCTTTCCCACTTTGTGAATTAGTTTGTGTTTTACAGAAGAACCTGTTTTCCTGTTAACGAGGAGTAGAGCTTAGTTTTTATGGGGGGAGGTGTTACGGACAAAGTCCTTTTGGTTTTGGTATTTTGTTTCTCCTTGCCTCCACCTCTCAGACCCTCCCACCTCCAGCTGAGTGACGTCCCGCTCACACCTGTGGGTAATCTGCTGGGAGGTATAAAGGGCCGGGATCGAGACCAGGCTGACGCTCTCTGCCACTTCGACCGTCCGTTGGACCAGTGGGTCCTGTGTCTGTACCTCACCCCTTTTGGAGCATTTTGTTTTGTGATTGAACAGTGGTTCTTTTGCACCTATTTTAATAAACCATTTGCTTTTTGGACCTCCGCCTCCCGTCTCTGTTCCACACCCGGTTTTATTTTTGTTACTGAGCCACACTCCTAGACACCACCACCTTGTGGCTCGTAATAACCATAGACTGTAAATATTAAAGCTGCATTACCTCACTTTATTTTAGTATTCATTACGAAAATTCAATCCATATTCATGCAGTGCATTGGGATATATGTCCTTTTGAAGAATAAGTAGCGCTGGTTTGTGCTGGCGTGTCATTTTATTTTAGATCAAATTTTCAAGCAACAAGGAAGAGAATTTGTTTCGGGTCCAGATTGTGACCAATCACAGCGGACCACTGGCCCCCACTTTCTTGAGAAAATCTGCAGGTCTCTCGTTAGCACAGACAGCTGAAGTAGACGAGGATCGTGGCGAGGGCGAAGCTGTAACTTCCCGTGTCTTCGTTACCGGTTTCTGCTTACACAGCGAAGCCAAAAGAAAGTCTCGTTCCTCTGCGCTTCCCGGTTCTATCATTCTATGGTCAGGCCATCCACTTTCAAATGTGCGATCCATATTGTGAGACGTGAGCTCCGTAAACGACAGCACATGAGCAAGCGCTTGAGTGGAAGCACTCATATCAACGCTTCAATCCGCTCGGTAGCCCTTCAGAGTCTTCAGCATAACGTGATGCCGCTGTGGCTGCAGGTTTTCAGACCCAGGAGGAGCAGAGCAGACTCCAACCATTTCCTTAAATCTTCAGGTCAAGACTAGTAGGGCGAGTCCTGGCTCAAAAACGTCAATGTATTCTTCTTTTATTGTGTGTCTGTGGTGTTTTGGGATTACAGAGTGTATAAGTGAATGGATGCAGTCTGAGAGTGAAAGTGAGTTGTAAATATTTCTTATGTCTTTAAATGTGTTCTTTCCACTTGTCTTGTTGATAACACTTATTTATGATGCAAAACATTCTTGAGTGACTTGTGTTATGCTGCGGCCCCACCCATTTAAGGTGGCTTCTCATAATGGAAAAACCATTTGTTTGACGAAGGCCCACGGTGAGTTTAGTCCTGGTTTAGACCTGATTAAGAGCTGGTTTAACACTGGTTTTGTCCTGGTTTAGACTTTGTTTAGTCTTGGTTTATCTTTTGTTTTGGCTGTTTTTGAGTGTCTTCCTCCATAGGCCATGTTTATTCTGCTAAAGCTGAAGGGGGCCTTGGAGGAGCCCTGAGAGGAGACCCTCAGGGGAGACCCTCAGAGGAGACCCTCAGAGGCCTGCAGGCCTGAGTGTGCACATGCCTGCTCTAATGTGGTGCAAATAAACAGCATTGTGTTCCCTCCTGGACTGGGCTGAAGAAGGGAACACTTTGAGGCTGTTTATCTCAGATTTGTGGTTGTATTAATATTTTTAGGTTTATTTGAGTCAGGACGGATACAGAAAACATGTGGTACAGTGGTCTGATGTATGCATCATGGTGATTATAGCCAAGACTAATTTCTGGGATGCAGCAGATGTCACGCAGCGGCGCAAAAGTCCTCCGAGGGACAGGAAGTACATTTCTCCATTAAGAACAATGTAAATCTTCACAGATTCAGAGTCAAAATGCAGATTTTTCTGTGGCGTTTGCAGTTGTGGCAACTGCTCGCACCAAGTGGAGAACTTATGGAGTCTCTATTTTTTCTAAAATAAATGTCTCCAATGGCGTAGATTTTAGAGAAAAAATGTCGTCTTTTGTAGATTCTAAGTCTTCTAACAAAGAATCTAGTTTTTTTCTGGCCATTATGTTAAAAAAGTGATTGTTCATCGTTACTTCACGACTAGGACTTTCAGAACCAGATTCTGGGACTGTTAGGACCAGGGTAATGTCTAAAGTAGTAAACGAGCTCTGTGCCACAAGGTTTGTGTACGGAGCCTCGCCTGGAGATTAAGTCCAAGCTTTTTTCTAATTTACAGCTCAAAAAATTACCACAATGACAAAACAGGGTCATATTTCTCGCCTCAAATGTTGTCAATAGTTATATTTATTTATATTTTTTGTATTATTGATCAGAACTGTCGTCTTAGACGTTTTTGGTCTTCAAAACGCTGTGATATTTTCTGCAAAAAAAAAACTGTATTTACTTAATTTGAATAAAAAGCAGTGTAAAAAAACCACTGTTTTCACTGTACGGCAGTGGTGCCCAACCCCTGGGTCTGCAGACCGGTACAGGGTCCACGGACCGGTACTGGGTCTGAAGACCGGTACGGGGCCGTGGGACATTCTAACCGTGCATGACATTTTTGTATATATTATCCAAGTCTAAAACGTCTTTTATTCTTTTCTAATAACCGGATTCTCTCCTTAGACTTTGGTCATGTGACATGGCATCTGTGAAATGAAAACAAATGTCCTTCCAGAAGTGTGTTCTGATAAGGCTCCCAATCATAACGAAGTTTTACAAACACGGTGTAAAGAAATACATAGGAAGCATCCGTGGGAGCTTGAACACGAAACAAAATATAAGCTGACTAAAACGATGACTAGAGGATTATTTTGTTTTCGTGGTGAGGAGGATGCGTTTGTTTCCGATGAGGTGTGGGGGGGTGCGTTTGGGTGCCAGTCCGTGCAATTATTGTCTAACGTTAGACCAATCCGTGGCACTGAAATGGTTTGAGATCGCTGCTGTATGGCAGGATGGTATATTATGCATGTGTGTTCCCTATGATTGTACAACAGCTTTCTGCCATTTCTGTTTTATAAAACCAGAGAGAGACCAGAGAGAGACCAGAGAGAGACCAGAGCGTGCTGCTCTCTCGTGAGTTCACAAGACGTCTCGGATCAGAGGAACACCTGTCTGACACGATTACCTCCAGCATGATACTAACCCCTTTCCTTTAATCCTGCCTTTCCTCCTTGTGTCTTGTGCTCACGTGTCCCGCTGCTGAAGAGGTGACCCTGGAGCACATTTAACAGCTTCAAGAACTTGACCGAGAACAAGTGAAAGAGGCTGAGAAACAGGTCAGGGCTGCGGAGCTGAAACTGGAGCAGACGCCAGAGAAAGTCATCACTGCAGCTCGGCTTAAAAAGTCTGCTTTAGTTGTTCACTTAATTCTCTGTGATGTTAAACTGATAGTGTCGCCACTATCGCCTGACAGGACTCTGAGGAGCACAGGGACTGGCCTCGTGCTGATGCCAGGAGTCAGGACAAAAAAATGGTGAGGCAGCATTTCAGATTCATGAAATCTTCCTGAAAATGTGAGACAGGGGTTCTACTCTGACAATGTTCTAACTCAGAGTTTCCCTGTGCATGTATATATGTATATTTAATATGTATATGTATATGTATATGTGTATGCAGAGGTGTGGACTCGAGTCATGTGACTTGGACTCGAGTCAGACTCGAGTCATGATTTTGCTGACTTTAGACTCGACTTGACCAAATATAAAAAGACTTGCAACTCGACTTGGACTTTAACATCAATGACTCTGACTTTCACTTGGACTTGCGCCAATTGACTTGCAAAGACTTGCGTAACCCGGGCCATTTTTACCTTTCTCCGCATCTCTCTTTCTATCTATGCCGTCTCTGAAGAAACAAAGCCTCGCGGTAGTTGTAGCGCTCGCGAGAGAGTTCGAACGTGAGTTCCCCGCAGTTCGCGCAGCAACACTTCCCTAAACAAGCGGACTGCATTCACCGGTGGGTGTGTTGTCGTAGGGGAGCTGGAAATGAGCGAGCTGCAGGTATTTATCGCGACCTAACGTCATATTTTGTTCTACAAACCGTAATTGATATGCTTTCACTACAGGCGCCTCATACAATTGAATCGACGCAGTTGTCACACTGTGTATCGTGTTTTAAAGAGGAACTGGTGAGTCAAACTAGCGCTAGCCTGCGCTGCTCTGTTAGCTATTTCTTATATTTTTCTGTGTGGGCGCCGAGGCCTATTATTATGAGTATGTTTTTGCTGTGCTCCTCCTGCTAAAGTTTGCATACATTAGATAGTTGTTTTGATTATGTGCACTAAGCTAGATTAATATTTGCACTATTGTTTATGGTGCATTGATATGAGAATCAGTGCTTTGACTGATTGAATTAATTTATATGAGACATTTTATTATGTAATGATATATTGGTAATTATGAGATATTGCTAATGCTGGTCCAGTTGATGGCGAGCTGCCCCAGGTCCAAAGCCTAGACCCCTCATACTACCCCTATTCTACAGTAGGACATTTGGAACAATAACCACTACGGACATTAAACTGATTATATAGATACAGGTCCTAGCCCAATACTCATATTCATATATGCTGCACTTGCTACTTCCCATTAAAAACCCCAAAGATAAAAAGTATGTTGACACGGACTGCTCTGATTTTATGTGTGGTCTGTGCATGTGTAACTGAGCCTGCATCTGGCACAACATCCAATTAGATCACATAGATAGTTTTGATTTATCAGCAGCCAACGACATGGAACAAACTGTTAGTCCATGGGTCAGAGACCAACGAGAATGCACCAGCAAAATGATTCCTAACATTATTTTGTTTGCCTACAAAAGTACGTGGAGACCAACAAGAAACAAATCGCGGTCAAAAAGACTCGAGAGGACTCGAAAGTCAAACCGTAGGACTTGGGACTGACTTGAGATTTGTTGGCCTTTGACTTGGACTCGACTCGGGACTTGCCTGTCTTGACTCGTGACTTGACTCGGGACTTGAGGGCAATGAATTGAGACTGACTTGTGACTTGCTAAACAATGACTTTGTCCCACCTCTGTGTGTATGTATGGCCCTGCTCACATTAGACCGCTGAAAGATCAAGGCTATGCCATAGAGCGGCCATCCTCCTGTGGACTCACCACCTGCAGGAGGATCAGTGCTATGTGTACTGGGTGGCATCTCTGGCCACCCCCCCAACCCAGAAATGGATTAAGGGGTAGAAAATGGATGGATGGATGGATGGACATTAAGATAAGATAAGAATTCCTTTATTCGTCCCACAGTGGGGAAATTTCGATTAGACTGAGCCCACCCTGGCTCGCTCAAACTCCCCTCAACTCACTTTGATAAACTGTGATAACGCACAAACTCTGCAGTCGAGACGCTGTGAAAACGCCTTATGTTTACGCCTTAGAAGGTACTTTTGATAAGAGTAATAATAGTTTTAAAAAACTCGGATCAATTACTTGACATATTTCGGCGGTAGACTTCCAGACCTCTAACCATGAACTTTTTACATTTAAATGTCTTATGTGTGTGTTTGTAAGCGTATGTGTGCATATATAATGTAAAGTCCCCAATTGTATTAACTTGTTTTACGTACTATTCCTTCTTTAAATGAAAAATAAAGTGTATGAATTACCACAGCGCTTTCTCATTTGCAGTACGTGACCACAGCATAGTCCAAAGTGGCCATTGGACACACATGTCTAGTACTTTTACTACTTTTTAATACTGTTTCTGCCTGAAGAGAATTAGCTGTTACTCGAAAACCTTGAATTTCTTGGTAACGTTAATCCGTGACTTGAACCATAATATCAGACATAGCAGGATAAGCTTCAAAACACCTGGAACAGAGCGAACCCACGTCAGCGCTCATTCATCCGGAACACAACAACAGAATTAGACAACAATTAGCAGAAAAAGACTTATTCAACATTCCACGGATCTCATTTTATCATATTCCAACAAATCTTTTCTCTTATACAAAGAATTTGACAAAGCCAGTATTTCCAGAGTTGTTTCCCTACAGTGTATTGTCTGTGTGTGTTTGTCTGTTTTATCAATGATTCTCTCATCACATTAACTTTTCTCTTAGTAAATCTGTGAGTAGTTCTGGCAAGTCAGACCTCAGAAGCTAAGCAGGACAGGGCCTGGTTAGCACTGTGATGGGAGACCTCTGAGAACACCAGGTGCTGTAGGGTGGCTGTGCTGTTACTGTATGAGTCTAGTGTGTGTGTGTGTGTGTGAATGGTTGGTGGTGGTGGGAGGGGCCGATGGCACAGACTGGTTGCCTTGCTATTGTCAGTGTGCCCCGGGTTAGCTGTGGTTAGTAGTTTACCACCACCGTGTATGGTGTGAATGAATAATGACGTGTGAAATGACATTAGTGGACGTTGGTGAGGAATGTGTAGTGGTGGGCTCAAACCCACGACCTTCAGGCTCAAAGGCCAATACCCTACCAACTGAGCCACTCTCGCCCTCCCGTATTTCTAACTATGTAGCTATATTATGTAACTAGACTAAAGAAAATCTGAGCAGAAATACGGTGTTAGAATGTGCTTTTTTAAGCAACTACTCAATC